ATGAAGGGGCCATAGTTTCCCTCATGCTGGCTCAGGAATTCTGGGAGTTGAAGTCCACCAGTCATAAAAGAGCCAAAGTTGCCTACCCCTGGCCTAAGTCCTCCTGTTCTAAGCGGTGAGCCTCCTAGGCCAGGGGTAGGCAACCATGGCTCTTTTGTGACTGGTGGACTTCAACTCCCAGAATTCCTGTGCCAGCCGTGCTGAGGGGAAAGGGAGAGGTTTCCAAGCTGAGCCATGCTGGCTCAGGAATTCTGGGAATTGAAGTCCACGAGTCATAAAAGAGCCAAGGTTGCCTACCCCTGTCTTAGGTTGAGTGGGACCCCCTCCTATTCTTTCCTCCAAGACTTTAAATATGCACCTCTCACACTGAGTTTGGGCTGGCTGGGTGTGATCCCGCACTGTCCCCCATAGGAGGTGTCATCTGGGAAATACAGGGGGTCCTCTGCCTATAACCATCCGTTTGGGGACTCTTCGAAGTTACGACGGCACTGAAAAAAGGGACTTACAACCGTTTTTCACACCTGTGACTGTTGTTGCAGCGTCCCCATGGTAACGTGATCAAAATTCAGAGACTTGGCAACCGACTCATATTTATGACGGTTGTGGTGTCCCAAGATCACACAATCCCCTTTTGTGACCTTCTGAGAAACCAAGCCAGATTCCCTTAACAAGCCTGTTACTAGACCCCTGGTGGCGCAGTGGCAGTACTGCAGGCTAATTCTGCCCACAGCCAGCAGTTCGATCCTGACCGGTTCAAAGTTGACTCAGCTTTCCGTCCTTCCGAGGTCGGTAAAAGGAGGACCCAGATTGTTGGGGGTCACAGATGCCACCTCTGCAAAGGACTTAGAGGGGGCTGTGAAGTCATGTGAAGCGGGATATAAGTCGGAGGGCTGTTTGCTACTAACTTAACAACTGCAGTGATTCACTTAAGAACTGTGGCGAGACAGGTTGTAAAATGGGGCAAAAGTCACTGAACAAATGTCTCACTTAGCAACAGAAATCTTGGGCTCCATTGTGGTTTGTAAGTCAAGGACTCTCTGTATGGGTGGGTGAAGGCACCCGGGTCCAGTTTCGTGACACAGCACTAATCGGGAACGGTTGCCCGTGAAGTCCTCAGCCTGCGAGGTGGGGGTGGCATCCTTCCCGGAAGACGGGGGGAGACCCCTCCCCAGCAGGGGGGTTTGTGAAAGGAATCTTTGCAACGGGATGGAGGTGGTGGGGGTGTTTCCTCAGATGTCCTGGACCTCTGTCGCTCAGTGGGACATTTGTTAAGTCAGCTTTGCCCTGTTTCACAATTTTTCTTGGCCCTGTTGTTAAGCAAATAATAATAATAATAACAACAACAACAACAACAACAACAACAACAACAACAACAACAATAATAATAATAATAATAATAATAATAATAATAATAATAATAATAATAATAATAATAATAAAGTTGGAAGGGGCCTTGAAGGTCATCGAGTCCAACCCCCTGCTCAGGCAGGAAACCCTACACCATTTCGGACAAACGGCTGTCCAGTCTCTTCTTAAAAACTTCCAGTGTTGGAGCATTCACCGCTTCTGGAGGCAGGTTGTTCCACTGGTTAATTGTTCTAACTGTTAGGTAATTTGTCCTTAATTCCAGGTTGCTTCTCTCCTTGATTAGTTTCCATCCGTTGCTTCTCGTCCTGCCTTCAGGCGCTTTGGAGAATAGCTTGACTCCCTCTTCTTTATGGCAGCCCCTGAGATACTGGAACACTGCTATCATGTCCCCCCTTGTCCTTCTTCTCATTATATTAGACATACCAAGTTCCTGGGTAAATTTGGTTTATTTTGAAGGAGCAAATTTACATCTTAAGGGTCTTTCTAGGATTTGTGGCTCTGGCTAGGACCTTCGTCCTTATCACCATGAAGTTAGATTTTTATAATGCACTCCAAACCATGTTTTGAACACAGGGCAAAAGTTGCAGGTGGTTCCAGATGTGTTGGGCAGGTTGTTAGCAGGCGAGAGCCGCTACCCAACTCTTACAATGCCTTCCAGTTGCCTCTGTGGTTGCCAGTTGGCTCCTGAGTCCCATTCAAGGTGCTGCTTTTGACCTACGAAGCCCTGCAAAGACTTGGCTTCGAGGTACCATAGAGATCATCTTGCCTTGCCCTGCATACAGGGGGAGACACCGAAGGTCCCACCTCCGCAACAATTCAAGGGGTCTGAAGGTGACCCCTTTGCTGTGGAGCACCCTCAGCCCCTCAGCATCTGGACTGCTGGCCTTCCACAAGGCAGTCAAGACTGCACGGATGCAGTAGGCATTGTGTGTGTGTGTGTGTGTGTGTGTGTGTGTGTGTGTGTGTGGTTAAGTGGTTTGTTATTGTCTATACTATACCAGACTAAGAAATCAATTCCCCAGGAAGGCGAAAAGTACTTATATTGAGTTTGGCTGTAATAGCAGAATATTGCCAGTCTTCCTTCCTTCCTTCCTTCCTTCCTTCCTTCCTTCCTTCCTTCCTTCCTTCCTTC